TAGTGAAAATCATACAATAAACTATATTGATTAGTTTTTTAATATGGATTTTCTTCAATATCGACCAGTTCTATTCAATTACTGTGTAGGTATATCCGAGACCAAGTTGTACATTTAAAGTTCATTTCTTTACGAATGTCACAATTCTCCGATTAATTACGTTAATGTGTTCCATTTTCATGTAAAAATACAAATTTATTAGGGATACTGACACCACTCCTCGTCAAAATAATTGGTGATGGCATTGCACAAAAGTTTTGAAGTCCCAAGGGAGGCGATAATCAGTCAAAAAAACACTGAGAACAGTTTTTTATATCCAACCGCTCTTGACACCTGGACGTGAACTTTCATTTTGAAATGTCCGTGTGCTATTTTTTCAATTCACATAGATTTTTATATTTTTCCAGTTTCTTATTTGAATATATTTTGGTGAATAGGTAAGTCCATGATTGGATAACTAATTCTGACACACATTTTTGTGTGTCAGAATTAGTTATCCAATCATCCAATTGTATCCAATTATATAAAAATCTATCAATCGATTCATTACAAGAGGTACTTTGAACTTTTAAAATTAATGTCTTCACCCCTTAAGGGTAAAGAGGTGGAGTTAGATGCTACATGCTCAAAAGGAAATTTAAAAATGAAATTCTACCTGTTTCAGCATCTTTGTGAAATAGTTTCGTTATATCTAACTTTCAGCATCAAAAAATTCAAGAACCGATTCACTATCATCACATGCATCTACACTATAAACACTTCTTCTATAGTGATCCGAGTATGTCGTTCAGAAATAAAAAACTTTTGAAAAATACTTTTATTTTCTCAAACACAAAGTAATCAAGTTGAAACCAAAGCACAAACGTATTCGTGATCAGATACCACACAACGCTGTTTCCAACCACCACAAGTCTCATCAGCTTTGCAGTGAACGCTGCAGAGACAGGCCGAAAATGAATATCGTTAGGCATTCGACGAATATCTCCGATATTCGTAGGTCTTCTGTCAATCCCACAGGTGGCGTTTACGTAAAGAGATATTTACTAATAGTTTTATAGCAATCAAGTCAAAACTCATCATGTATCGAAATTTCTGTCACACCACATTCTAAATTCATCAAGTTGACTGGGATGTTGGAATCTGATATGATTCAATAAATTATTCTTGATAAGACGTTGTCCACAATAAAGGCATTGAAAAACATTATTTGCTTCGCATTTATATTTCAAATGGCGTGTCAAGGATCCTTTCTTGAAGTACGACATCTTGCATTTGTGACACTTGTAAGGTATTTGACCTGAAATTATTGTGTTTTTATTACAGAAGAAGTATTTTTAGAGGAATATATTATTTCTGTACAGTATCTATTAGATCACGACCCATGTCACAGTTGAATGAATAAAACCAAAAATACCTATGATTTTTCTTTCCAAAAATCTGCTCATATAAGAAAGCCTTCGTGGGAAACTTTAGTTTCAGTTTGAAATGTATTGGTTTTTCTCAAAGTACCAAAATTAAACTGATCCGTTACTTGATGGAAAGTAATAATACCATCCACAATAAATAATTTTCACACTGTAACTTCAATGAAAAACATGTTACACTAGTAACGGTAGTTTTATATGTTGGACTGGTGAGGTGCATTCTATAGTCTAGCAACCGGAGACGCTGATTAGGTCATATCGTTAACAGCTCTTAATTATTTGTCCGGAATCAGATGATGATCAGTCAAAAGTCACTTGTTATTTCTTGTAGAAATGTAATTTTGTTACCCGAAATATAACCAGAAACCAATCTGAAATGAATATATCTTTATTGAAAAAATTAACCTAAATAAAATTAATAAATAAGTTTTGGATCTTCATCATCGCGGCTCGAAAACTAGTCCCTCAATTGTTTTTTTAATGAAATGTAGTTTCCATGAAACCTAATATAATGATATTTCAGATTGTTACTCTGAGTATATGCTCTATTCGGGCATATTTCACAAATAAATTGTGGTGTCATCCCGCACTCGTACTTGAGATGGCGTTTGAGAGTAGTTTTATGTCGGTACATTCTGGAACACTTGGGACACGTGTGTATTAGACCTGTAAGAACAGAAATAGTTACAGTGTAAAATTAAATGATTCAATGACGATCTTCTAGAACGGTTCGACACGTGTTTCCTGATTTGAACAGATATCGCTTTTCACATTGCTACGAGATTTAGATGAAGTACTCGTAGTTGATAGTACACCCGAAGTTTAAACGATAAGCAAAGTCAATTTTTATTGAGACTATCTTGCTGCAGCCCAGTTTACTCAAACTCCTTATCATCCAAATATATCCACCTGGCATACGTTATTGTTGAATCATCATTGGTCATAGAATGATGAAATAGAATTAGGTGCAAATACTAAACGAAAAGTATAGACAATATTTCAATCCTAAGAGTCTGAATAAATGAGTAGAAGTAATTTATTTCTTTTCTTGGCTGGAATTACTTCAATTAGGTTTCGTGACCCCTCGAAAAATACTGTTTTTTACGTTGCAAGATAATATCATTTCAGTAATACTCATTCATGAAGTTTCGTTGATAGTTCGTAATCTTAGATAAACTACCAAATGCGTTTCTATCTCCAGCTCCAACTCTTTTCGAATCTTCCTAGCAAATATTCATCCAGGAGTGGTCGGCTCCAGTAGCAACTCTCAAAGAATATAGGTCCAACATCTGAAGAAGCAAGTTATGTTGAAATGATTATTCAAAATAGAAAGATGAATATCAGACACATTTTTTGAGAGATGATAGCTGGCATCAAGCGGAAAATTTCAAATTAACAACTGATTCATGAGTTCTGCAAATTTTATGACTTAATCCTGTTCATTAGAGCACATCTCTCACTTCCTTTCATTTCAGTGCTTTAGGACTTGCCCTTTATTTTGCCAGAAATTGAAAACAATTCAACTGATATTTTACCTGATGATAAGTATTGTTTGTATTTCGTCAATTGGTTTGTATAAAAATGTCCAACTTTTATTTTGACACCTTTTCCACTCAATCTCAATATTCAGTCTAGTTATGAATTTATTCAAACGTACAAAGTTAGAATCTACCAATGAATATAAATTATACTAAATTTGAATGCAAAGGATTCACACCTGGTTAATTCATGAGTATCTATGAGTAAATTATACTGTTAAGAAAATCCTGGGCAGCAGATATCTCCGGTAACTGCGTGGACAAAGGTAGTGTTTCGAAATCTAGTGGAGTATGGTATGGTTTTCATCTACCAAAACAGCACATCACACATTATTTTTTGTGTAACCAGTTGGAGAAAGTCCCATTTTGTGTAACAAATACAATTTCTGCAAGACGAACGTAACGAGGGTGAGTTACACGTTTTTTATTATGTGCTAGGAGGGCAACTAAAGCACCTCATCCTTCTTCTCATCATCTCTGATAATGTCTAATGGACGTGTAGACGAAACGTCTCACATAAAAACCTACAAATCAAGGCCAACAAACCCGGGAAATAGCTTTGACGCTGTTCCATATAAAATTTCTAATTTTGATGGAGAATATTCTTTCGTCATTTTTGAAATGTTTGAATTATCGGCAATTAAAATTTTTCTGTTATCAAATACGTTCGTAATACCGCTTGTCAGTGAAGCCTATATCAAGTCGACTATATCAATATAAGCATTAGGATCTTTGTTGTCACACCCCACTCTTCTTTATTCGCGCTTTGCCAGTGTGTGTATTTATAGTGAATTTATTCTGATTTCTCATCCTGATTTCTCTGTAAGAGTTTAATATCTACTTCACTATCAACATCAATAATATTCAACAAGATATCTCCTCCGGTGTATTCACATAACCTGATGTATTTCTCCTATATCAGGATGGTTTTTGAATATTCTCTGTGTCAGATCAAAAAATGATCATTTACCTCAAAAGAGAGAGGAAATGGATTTGCTACTACTAATCTATTTTGTCGAAAAAATTACGGCCAAACTGTAACTTCAAACACTTTAATTTTGATTCCCTTGTATGGAAAGGAAGAACAAATACCTTTAGTTGAAAATATTGTCATTGTATTCAATACATTATTCGACTTCCCAGGAAGGACGGTCAGTCTAAATTACTCGAATACTAAATCTGTAACGTTCAACATGTAGTATAGTTTCAATATTTGGATATCGAACCGTATACAAATTCGAAGAAATCAAGCAAAAAACTCTCATTTTTGGTCTGGCCTATGCTCGCTATAGGTACGAATCATTACTTTGTGGTGGTAAGGTAGATCGTTTTGGTTTTTTTGGTAAATGAAGGGTGACACGAAAGAAAGTTGATACCCTTTCTTCCCGAGTTCGAGTAATTGAGATTGATCTTCCTTACAGCAAATTAAGTCGATTAAGCTGTCAATTACTCTCCACTCTGTACCATCGTGTGTGAGCCCGCTTGAGTATATTTTGTCGCGCGATATTTTGCGATAACTTCTGAAATACTAATTCGAATAGTATGATGAAAAGGGCAATTACAACTTGTATGGAAAGCTTAAGGTAACTAAATTTACCTTAAGCTTTTCATACGCAAGTATATACATACAAGAAATATATTAACTCTTGTGAAAACGTAGAAAATCAACTGGCAAGCTGTACTGTAGACAAGACTTTACAAATACAATATGTCACCTAGCTAGTTAGAGATGGGGGTCAGTTTGGTCACTGCAGGGAGAGAAAGAGGTTCGAATTAACATGGGTAGGATAAGGTCATAATAGCGGGTAAGTCCTAAGACAAGGGATACAAGGAACACGATGGTATATCTTTTCCAATGATTCCACAACACTGGATTGAAAGAAGAAGCAGCAGTTGCACTTCCTGTATTTTTTTAAATCTATTGCAAGTAACTGAATAACAACAAATAGAAATCTACTGAATGTCGTCCTGTTAACAAACTGTTAACTGTGAGAATTATTTCTGGATGTTTATGGAACTGAAGGAATAAAAATACCAATTTTCTAAAACAGTATTTACGAATTTACATATTATATGTAATAGTGCACAAATGAAAAATCTATAGTATAATGTTGCATTCGCTCCATTCCATTCCGTGAATTTTCAGCAGATGAACTTTCAAATTATATTTCCTTTTCGTACTAAAATCACAGAAAGGACACTTTTTGAATGAAGATAGGCAATCTAGTTTGTGATGTATTTTCCATGAATGGTATTTTTTGAAGAATTTTCCACATGTTGGACAAATCACTTTCCCTGGAATAGAAGTTTACAATAATTATGAATATTCAAAAATCAGTATACCTTGGTGTTAGTAATGTTAATTTGAAGCCATGACCACTGAAAATGTAATATACTGTGAGATGTTAAGTGAGGAGTTATAGTATTTTTATTGGAAAGTTATTTTTGTGAAGACTGTGTTTGGTTGATTTTTTGAGTATAATGATCTCATTTTTATGAAATCTGCTGCGTCCATTCTGAAAAGTTGCTGCAGTAAAATGAAAACAATTTGTTGTACAAGAATACAGACACAAAAACTTTGGTTCTAAATGTGTTTCGCATAAAAAAGTTGAATAAAATAAATGAATCAATTTTAGGAAACGTGGCACTTCTGTGGAAAAAATATGTTTATTCCTCAGAAGGAACTGAAGTATTATTCAAAAACACGCAGGTTTTGAATGAAATTACTAGAAAAAAAATTAATAATTTCTAATGAATATATTGTTGAATAACTATTTCACGGATATCAGAAAACTGAAAAATTGGATGTGGTTCATCATTTTGTATATTTAACATTCAGTTGGAAAGAATATGAATATTTGTTTGAAAGTGGTTGACAATGTTTTGTGGTGTATTTCATCAGTTTGGACTTCCATTGTCTAATTCAATATAAAATTGATTTGAAATCCCTGAAAAAAATTAAAAAAGATTTACCGAAAATAACAATTTCATTAAACAAAAAACTGAAATAACAAAGAAATAACATACAAGCAACAACCAAACAAATAAAAAATTGAAATATTCGTAAAAGCTGAAAATTGAAAAAATTAAAAATATTACTAACAAGAATGAAAAATTAAAATAGAAAAGATTTCAAACCAAGTTATGTCACGATGTTTCGATTGTTAGTATCCACAATCCAGTTATCACCCGAAGACGATTGTGGATACTAACAATCGAAACGTCGTGACATAACTTGGTTTGAAATCTTTTTAATTTTTATTTTTCATTTTTGTTAATAATATTTTTTATGTTATTTTTTCAGCTGTTACTGATATTTCAATTTTTTATTTGTTTGGTTGTTGTTTGTATGTTATTTCTTTGTTATTTCAATTTTTGTTTAATACAATTGTTATTTTCGGTTGATTTTTTAAATTTTTTTCAGGGATTTCAAATCAATTTTATATTGAATTAGACAATGGAAGTCCGAACTGATAAAATATGAATATATTTCATACTCCATTTCATCGTCAATCAAGAAGTGAACTGGAAGGAAATGATAGAGAGTAAAATATATCGGAAACAAAAGGAAAGAAAGTAGCGTGCAAATTCTACGAGGAGAGATTTAGCTCAACTGTTCTTCACAATCAAATATTTTGAAAGGGGCAAATTTGAAATCTGACAACTCACTAACTAATTCGGTTTTCTTATAGAGGAAACTGTTTTTCTTTCAACGCAACATGTGAGACTTGTTTATTCGCTGTTTTTAAATTGATAGGTACAGATTCTGAAAGAATATTGTTGAATATTCCCAGATACAAACTATGAGATCTCTGCGGAAAGCTATCATTGAGAGATCAATGTAACTGTAATGTAACAACAAAAAACTTCAACATTCACATTAATAATATTAAGATAAACAACGTTTCAAGAGTAATGTCCTTATTTATTTTTTGTGAAAAATTTGCCAGATACTTTCTGTTATTGACTATTTTAGGGTCTGTCTCTCACGTGTGCAAAAAAAATTTAGGAAGTTTCAATATTTTACCCATTTCCTACCTGAAATAAGTTAGATGTTCGAAGTGAAAATGCAATTAGGAATTCAATTTTGAATTCAGTAATATAGCAGTGAAAAAAAAGTAAGTCCAAATTTCTAATCATGTCTGGAGCAAAAATTCACTGTATTTTCTTGAAAAAATAAGAGAGGGATGAAAAATGTTAGCTATACAAAATTTCGATTCAAATCTTTTTATATTTTTTGTATATCGGGGCTAGTTTTTATTGTGTGAAGAGTCATTCCAAATAAAAATCAAATATAGTTCACGTACGTTGACTCTCAAGCCATCGAAAACTAATAGTATATGAATGAATTTGATATTTGAAGTGCATAATCTTCTTCAGACAACTAAGTACAACCGACTGTATCTGTTTCCGAAAGAAATTGATACCTGTCGTACCTAATTGAAATCTCATCATCTTTAAATTTTTGTCATTTTCACGAAAAATAAAATTTTATGATCTTTTGGGTATTTTTCCCTTACACACTACACATCCATGTATAGAGTTACTTATTTTCAGATTGATTAATCCTTTCTTTCTTTGGAAGATTCTCTCATCCATTTTTTTTGTATCAGATGGAGTAGTAGAAAGCCAAAAACTTTCTTTCCCAAAAAAAAAAAAAAATACATATAATTATTTCATATAGCTGTAGGAAGGACGAACCGTTGACCCTACACAACAGCACTGCAACTGGATTCATCATTTCCTGATGATTCTGTCTTGGATGATGTGTGGTAGAATTATTTGTATAAATTGATGAATGAAGCCGTTACTACGTGATAGGAAATCATAATGAAGAAAAGAGAACTGAAACTCACTTTGTTTATACCACTTTTATTTGTCACTAACGTTACTGCAGTTTCGTCCTATAAGGACATTTTCGAACTTACACATTAAACTAACAACGGTTTGAATGAATGAATGAATGAAAATCGTATATTACAAATTATTTACAGTTTTACAATTTTGTGTGTGTATGTGTTTGTGTAGGGCCCTGCTATAGGCTTATGCCTCTTCAGGGTGAGTGAGTTATGTGTGTGTTTAGTGTTTTATGTTGGTGTTTGGTTTTGTGTTGTTTTTGTGTTCCAGTTTTCTTAGTTGGTTTTTATGTTGATCCATGTGGTAGTCCGGGTTCATTGCGGTGGTCGGAACAAAACAACGGTTTATTACATTAGCCCTTATATAGCACCCGTGTAGGTAATAATAGAGGTACTTGGCTTGATTGAGTACCTGAATTTACAATTTACAATGCGGATATGCTAATTTGAAATCCGGTGAGTAAACTAAATCGATTTGATCATATAACAGGTTTCACCCGCAATGTTCATGCTTGTGAGTTTGTAACCCTTCCTTGCATAGTGCAAAATTTCCGTATCGTTTAGATTCGGGAACTTGTGGTTGCATGCCAAGGAATGGTTTGAAAACATCGAATCATTTTTTCCTAGTCTGAAGGAACTTTCATGTTCAGAATACCTTTTTTTGGAAATTTCGACCACATTGTCCCATATAAACACTATTACACTCCGGACATTTTAGCTTATAAACTCCAGATTTCTACAACTTGTCCACCTTATCTTTGGCATTGAAAAGGAAATCAGATAACCTGGAATGTGGTCTGAATGCCACTTCCACATTGTTTTTCCGAAGAAACCCGCAATTATCTCTGTTCTTTTTCCATAATATGTAAGAGTTACCCATTTCATGATTTCTGTTTTTTTGACCTGAGGGTATATTAATCTGTAAGTGAATCAAGTCAAGTACCTCTATTATTACCTACAGGGGTGCTATATAAGGGCTAATGTAATAAATCATTGTTAGTTTAATGTATAAGTTTGAAAATATCCTCATAGGACGAAACTACAGTAACGTTAGTTACAAATGGAAGTGGTAAAAAACATAGAAAGTTTTAATTCTCTTTTCTTCATTAGAATTATTTGTGTTGTATCAGGTAATTTTTCATATTCAGTTCTGACTTTCAAAAAGGAGTCAACAATTTTATAAATTATATTACCCTAATGATGTTTCGAGAATGAAAATCCATCTTCGCAAAAAAACAACTACAATGGAATGTCCTTTGTTTTTTTGCAACGGTTACACTTTTAATTCTTTCGTAAAGGTAATGACATCCCCTTTTTCGATGGCAAAATTGAGAAATATAAGACACGTTACTAAAAATGTTTGATTTCATTCGCGAAAAGGATTTTGATATCTACACAAGAATATTTCTGGGGTGAACAAGAAGTTTAAATGCAATTTTCTCATCTTGCGGAAGATGAAAATACCCGAAAGAGGTGTGACTATAAACAGCACACATTGAACTATCCTCAAGCACATCTATGGAACGAAAATTGTATTGAATTTTATTCAGTTCTACCATATAACGTTTCGTTTCCTGTTTTTTTCTTTATTCTGACATTGAATGGATGAATTGGTGTAACAATTTTTTATAAAATGAAACTTTCAATGACTACATGTTAAAACATAGAAAATGAATTTTGTAGGACAAACACATATGTAAATGTACTAATAAGTACACTTAAAAATTAAGTGAGGAAGTTGGCTTCAACTGTCAGTAATATACAAGAAACTATGCTGAAAAGATAATTTATTGAAAATAATTTGCAATCGTACTAATTCAATATTGCTGCGTTAATACATGAAAATATGAATGAATGAACAAGTCAACAACTAGTGTAAACTTTCAAGGCCGGAAATAACCGTGTCAAAGTTATTTTCCGGTGCCTTAACCTGCATATCTGCATAAAATTTGGCAGAACTTGACCAAAAAAACCCGGAAGATATTTTTTACAAAGTCAACAACTGCACCGATCATCTGCAAATTACAATTTTAGTCACCGGGAAACCAATTGTAAATTGTGTTTGAATTTCATATGGGAAGCCAACATCTCATGAGTCTTGTAAATCATTCCACAACTCCAGCACTGAAATGGTCTCATCCCAATACAATTCTTCTCATGATTATACAGAAGGTATTTTCTCTTGTATTTTTTCATGCATTTGGTACACTGGTATGTTTTTGGTTCCATATGCAGTTCCATATAATGCCTCTGGACATGATCTTTCCTGTTAAATGTCTTGAAGCATATGGGACAAACGTTATTGGTAAAATCGACATGTCTGAGTATCTCACTAGCAGTTTTACCTAAAAAATAATGAGCACAGTTTAACAAACATATCACAAAGCTATTGTCAAAATAGAACATGCAAAGGATTCCTAATTTCAGAATCTACACAAT